CCGTCTGAAACCTTTACCCATTTCTGCCTCTAACCATATCTGATATCCTCCTTCTTTGGCCTTGTTTGGTTTCCCCTCCTCAGCTTGTTGGTTTTGGCATCATTTCTCGACAACCAGAGACGACTATAGCATTCTCTTACAATAGTAAATCCTCCATTTTTGCAAACCGCCAGTTTTGGGAAGGTGCCGAACAAAGGACGGAGTGCAATATACAAGTTATACCGTTGACAAGATTAGAATGAGCCTATACACACAGATAGCCCTTTCAGCTTGCAAAAGCGCTCACATGGTTTATAACCATCCCCGAATTCAAAGGAAAAATCTTAGTATCACTCACTGCATGTGTCAGTCAACACATAACCAGTTTTCTTTCTGCATAATTAACAATAGCCATGTACCCTTCCAAATGCCATCGGTGTTCGTTTGGACCATTTGTCGCTGGACAACTGACATACAGGTCAAATATGTTTAAGATGGTTTTGATATACACTATTGTGTCTCAAGAGGACCAGATAGCTCCCTCTCTCATGTTTTCCTACATCACCCTCTCTCTTCAGTCTTAGCCCAAGTTCCCCCTCCCTTCATTTTGACACAATGGTTAACCTATCATACCAAAAGTGTGTGGACTACCAACATCTCATCAAAAACCTTGGGCATACTAGTTTTGTGTAGCTGTAACAATATTTTAATGCCTGCCTGCACCACAAGCTTGGTTGTTTATAAAAACACTAGATACATATACAAATATCAAAAACCATCGCGCTCTGGGGAATTTCTAGGGTAAGAGTTAAACCACACACACACACAGAGAGAGAGCCAGCCACATTTCTGTATACATCAAAGGCACACTTACGAACACGTGTCTCCTGCACTACCAAATACTTTGCATCCTGCTTCAGCTACTCTCAGCTCTCGGGGCGGACACACACTTTTGGAAGAGAAAACAAGCAGATTACCTTTGTGTGTGTGTGTGTGGCAACTATAGAGAGAGAGCAACGGACGCATTCTGCTGAAAGCCACAGTAGCAGTTCATGAATGTGTCTTGCACCCACACTGTACTGTGTATGATTTAAAATGTCTGAATCTGAATAAATTGTGTAGAATTAACAGAAATCCCTCTTCTGTCCTGTCGCAGGGTGAGTCAGTGAAGTATTTCTTGGATAATCTGGATAAGCTCGGCGATCCGGTAAGTTGTTTCTGCCTGCACCGATTGTTATAATCAGACCTGTGCATGTTGGAGTTAATATTGCAACATGTCTAGACAATTTAAGGTTGAGCCGACGAGCTGAACTAAGATGGTTGCTTGTCAGAGATAAAGCTGGGTTTTCTAGCTCCTGTTGCTGTGGGAAGTTTTGAGTGTTTGCAGGTCTTGAAAAGTCTTTAAAAAGCAGCGATATCAGTTTGTTTGGTAGTTTGAAATATTTCCTCCTCCCAGCTGAAGGCAGTAATGTCAGATTTTATATCTGATTGCTGTAGGGAGACGTTCTGCAGGTATAATCAAAGAGAGAGATGTGTAGTGGGCCGTGAACGCTGGAGGCCGTTTCTTTCCAAAGATGAAAGTGTGTTTCTTTCCTTTTTAACCACTTTCTTTAAACCTTGCCTAATTCAATATCCACCTTTTATAGTATAAACACAGTTAACGATTACCTGAGGAGTTAAAGTGATCAGCAGGCTTATAGCTAAACAATCTCTCTCTCCTTCCAGCGGTTCAGTTTCTGCCCTCCTGTATACAAGCTGATGTTCACTCGTTGTGTCTTTCGCTCTTCTCCTCCAGGGTTACCTTCCCACTCAACAGGACATCCTGCTGGCCCGCAAACCCACCAAGGGCATCCACGAGTACGACTTCGAGATCAAGAGCGTTCCCTTCAAGATGGTGGACGTGGGCGGGCAGCGGTCGGAGCGGAGGCGCTGGTTCGAGTGTTTCGACTCGGTGACCTCCATCCTCTTCCTCGTCTCCTCCTCTGAATACGACCAGGTGGGAACGCTTGTGTCAGGCCGATCGGTGGCACGTTCATCTGCTTGGTGACCTTTTGATAAGTCGTCATTGCTGCGTCTGTATGCTCTCTCTTATTCTGCAGAGTTGCTGTGGTTTTATTTCACGTCGTGTGTAGATTGCCACAAATGACACATTGTGCACAAAATCAGACACAGTTAACCACATCGGGCTGGTAAAGCACGTAAAACACCAGACACTCAAACAGGATAACATTGTTGACTCATACTAGATGTACGAGGGTAATATACAAATAAGATATAATGTACATTTTCTAAGTAACAAAACATTTTTAATAGGATTCTTTAAATTAGGTTAATACGTCATTATGACCAGGAGCGGGACGTTTTTGTTTTTTTTCCAAAACTCTGGTTGGCAGGATATTTAATAACCACACTGATCCTAAATTACCTCAAACATATCTTTAACGTTTCTGTGCTGCATTGTGTCGTGTATCACTGATACACCTGTAATGATATCGACCCAGCCGATGTATCGCACCTTAAGAAATCCCCACACACCGATAAACACTTCTTCATTGTTTCTTTATTGTTTTGGTACTCTGTCTATCTGCAGTCGGAGGCTGCCGGGACTTTTTTTTGGTGAGAGAAACCTGCTTCCCGGTCCGAACTTGAGTTGAACTGTGTTGGCACATTGTTTCCGCCCCAATCCACCACTCTTTGTCCCCTGTCGCTGTAACTCTAAACCACAATAGGGAACCGTAGCGCTTCCAAACAGGGAATGTAAATGACACGGGAGCCTCTGCATGAAGAGCGAACAGACAGTTGACCCCCTGCCAAAGCTTACCAGTCAGAACTTAGTTGCAGAATTAAAAAGCTTTCGGACCACAAGCGGCACCGTTTGCTCCATAAATGCAGCCGTGTTTACTTTTATTACAACTCCAGTGACATCCGGCACCTGTACTCAATCCCTCCACCGTCTCTCAACAGGTGCTGATGGAGGACAGGCAAACCAACCGGCTGCGCGAATCGCTCAACATCTTCGAGACCATCGTCAACAACCGCGTCTTCGTCAACGTCTCCATCATCCTCTTCCTCAACAAGACGGACCTGCTGGAGGAGAAGGTGAGGAGCGTTCCGCTTAAAGACTACTTTCCTGAATACACCGGGCAGGAGCACAACCTGGCCGACGTCCAGGCGTTCATGGTGGAGTGCTTCCGAGCCAAGAGACGCGACGGCACCCAGAAGCCCCTGTACCACCACTTCACCACGGCCATCAACACGGAGAACATCAGGCTGGTGTTCCGGGACGTCAAGGACACCATCCTCCACGACAACCTCAAACAGCTCATGCTCCAATGACCCCTGTCAACCTGTGAAAGTAGAGGACCTGAATGGGGACAAAACCACCCCCTCGCTCCCGACGAGGACTTGGGAGAGACCAGCCTCAGAAGAATCCGATAAATGACAGCATTCTTCTTTAGCCGTTTTTATATTAGTTTTTACTCTCCTCTTTTGAAGAGTTGGCCTTCTTGTTAGTTCGGGGTTCGGTAGGGGAACGAGTCAGTAGGACAGACCGTCTGTGGTTATAAAGAAAGACGAGAAGGCGGGTCGGATGTTCGATAACATCTTTGCTGCTTCATCTTGAGACTCTCCTCTGGCCTGAGCTCTGCCGTACAGCACAAGACTCTCGGGGGGGGCGGGGGGGGGCTTTTCAACTCACAAGGTGTCGGTGCCCGGCTGTGGAAACCAGCAAAACATTGTTTTATCTTATTCTCTTTACAAAAACCAGGCATTTGGTTTCTAAACCAGATACGCAACAAGTCGCGACGCACCAAAAACAGACGTGGTGAACAAATAACAGAGTTCGACGGTCATCGCCAAAGATCATCTGCGCCCGTCTGAATCCAAGCACTGAATTAATTTAATCCCACATCACTCCATTATTCCTGTTGCTCTCTCCAGTGCTGCTTTGTGAGTGTTGTAGTTTATACAAAAAGGGGGGTTTGACTTGCTGATCATCTGGAGATTGCATTGTCGTCTTCTTCTCTCTCATATTGCAGCACCGCTCCTCCCCTCTTCCCCTCCCACCTACCACTTTTTTCTTGGTTTGAGCAGATCGAAAAGTACCGGCACAGAGCCAATTTCGCCGGGACAAGGACCAGTTTATTGATTGTGAAAGTGCTCAGAATGGTTAATAATTGGATGCTGAAAAATCGGTTCCAGCACTGGCACCTTGTCTGTGGGGAGAAATGCTCGAACAGGGCGAGACTGAACCTACAATGCCTTTCCGTATAATGTCTTAAGGAGACCTAATCACTGTTTAAATCCTGCATTTGTGCCTGTGTGTCTCTAATTACAGTCGGTCTTAGATTTTAGATTTTTTTTTTTGGTTGTTTAGAGGGCAAAATTACCTTCAGTGGCACATTAAGTGAACATGCAGTCCACTGTTCTCTCAGGGTTGAATCAAAACCGGCATTAAATGTTGATGTCATTGTTAGTGAACTAACTGAATAAACTAATCTTCATCTGGTTGGCAGAGCGGTGAGACTCAGTCAGGCCTCAGTACAGGTAGCTAGGTGGTGTTTGGTACTGTATCCTCCTGACTTTGACCCCTGAACTTTAACCCAGACTCCCAACTCTCTCTCTCTCTCGCTCTCTCTCTTTGTTCTCATCTCTGATTAGATGCCTTGTAAAGGGACAGACCTCCCCTGTTTGCCTGAATGATGAATGTCTGTTAATAGATGTACAGATTTGCTCCAGATTGTCTGAATAAACTGTAACCGGCGTCGTTATGGTGAGATTGTAACCTGTATATCTGTGTTGGCACTGACTCCAGGCGTCTCTGAAAACGCAATCTTGTGCCGTTTAGGAGTTCCCCTTTTTTTAAAAAAAAAATACATTATGAATTTTGTAGGAAAAAATGTGGATGGAAATAAAAAGATAAGGAGTTGTCAGCTTTTGTCAGCAACCGTATTCGGTAGGGGCCAATCGTTATTAGAGGACGACTTCCAGGCACTCTTAAAATCTGTGTTCGTCTGCCCGATCACCCCACGTGCTTTCTCGGGACTGTTCACACGGACAGTCTGCAGTTCTTCTCCGAAATTAAAGCTCCTGTGAGCTTCAGTTTGCTTCCAGTCCTTTGGCTTTTGTAAATACTGTAATCTGTTGCTATGTAAATAATATTCAGGTTTATCTCCATATATGTAAATGGTTGTAGAAATGGTGTATTTTTTTTTTTTCTTTCCCATTCTGAATGTGTTTAAAATCACTGCTTTTTCCAATGAAGATGACCTTTTTGCTGTAGATGTATATCTGTTTAATTTCTTTCATCACCTTTATTTGAAATTAATTCCTGTGCCAAGTCTCATGCCACTCTAACCCTATCAATAAAATACACTTTTCTAATGAAAGCAGGCTCTTTTTTTATTATTATACATGTTATTAGGCACATATAATCCTAAACCAAAACCCCCCAAAATATATATTTAATGTCACTTAAAAATACAAACGTGTGTGAGGTGCCTGTTTTTAACCACGTTCCCTCTGAAATCTTTGTCTGTTTTAAAGTTAAACATGGTTCGTGGCCTACTTTACACAAATACTACTTGATTGTAAAACATTATGACAACTGAGCGAGTCCATCTGCTGAGGAAGGCCATAAACTGTGGCAAACACAGGGAGCGATATCCTCCTCAAGAAACAGTTTCACCCGCTCAACGAAGCTTTCTCGTTTATTAAAAGTGTTTTTCTGGATGCTGTTATCGTTAAACGCTCATGTGGAACAAATAAAACACCCTTCTTTACAGAAATATCCAAGAGTTTAGCGGGAAGGTTGACAGACCACATCCGAAGATTAAACGGTTTGTTCGGGGGTTTACACAAAGGCGGAAGTAAGCAGGGGTGAATCATCTCAATTCACGACGCAGAGCAGGAAGTCAACGCGCCACACCCACTGAACAGATCTCTGCGTGATCCTACAGCTCTCACATTAACTGTATCACACATCCCCGTTATAATACACCCAGTAGGAGTCCAGTTTCAAAAGAAATCTCCCGCTAAATGATAAAGCAACAAGTGAGCGAGCCAAAGCTACAGGTGATTTTACTCAGGCTCCTGAGGCGCTACCCGAACGGGGTCTTTTCTCTGCACACTAACAGAAACGACCCTGACTGCGAACACGTGTCTGACTGCAACATGTTTTATAAAAGTGACGCCACTGTGTACTGAAGTGATGATTCGTGTCATGTAACATTAATGTTGACGCCGCTTTAACCTTGGGGACATGCAGCACCCTGATTGGCTGTTTTACAGACGCGCGCAGACATGAGCTATGGTAAGTGTCACTTTATTGTTTATCATTCACAAAACAGAAACCCCACGTGACCTGATCTCAACCAGCATTATGTGTTTGTGTTTTTATTTTTGCACTGGGACTGACACTTTTAGTCCAGTGACAACATTTGCATCAATGAGTAATACTATCTATGTGTCTTTTAATCAGATATTGGTTGATATTTAGTTGTATTAAACTGCATCAACAGGGTCTATGTGTTTAAAGCTAAAGGCAGTAGTCGATCAACAGAAATCTGAGCAACTATTTTCACAATTTAGATCATTTTCTTATTACATTTTCTAGTTTTCCAGCTTCTCAAAAGTGCAATTTTTATGCCTTTCTTTGCCATATGTGTGATAATAAACTGAATATCTTTGAATTGTAGACTGTTGGTCAGACAATACAGAGAATTTAAATACATCCAACCAAAAAAAACAACTGAGTAATCAAGAAAATCATCAGCAGATGAACTGATAATGTAGTTAATATAAGTGACATCCCAATACATATACACACAAAGTAGAGGTGCTAGTGCCACACTGCGTATGTTTTAACCACACAGGACCACTTCTCTGTCGCTGTCTTTCCCCACAGAGGTGTGCACGTTCTGCGGGAAAAGTTACAAAAGGCTCAAAACTCACCTGCATCATTGCAAGGCGGCAGCGAGCTGGAGAACTCGAACCAAACATGACGTCAAGGTGAATCAGACGTCATCCTCTCAGCCTGCCACAGCCTCGACCGAACGATCAGCGAAGTGGGAAGTGTCCACACAGACTCTGTCCGTGACTGCAGGTGCACAGTCAAAGAAGAGTAAAAAGATGTCTGAAGCATTGTCCCTGAGCTCTGAGTCACTTCCGTCATCAACAAAGAAGAAACAGAAGCTGTCGGAACAAATCAAGACAGCCAACGTGCCCTCCTCTACCACCGTGTCCCTCATCCACACCCCACCGCTGTCTCCCACAGCTTCTGTGCCCAAAAGGAAGAGTCTCCGTGCTTTGATAGAAGCTGCAAAGTCCAAACAGGTTTCTAATGGATCACTGGAGGAAACCAAACCTCCCTCAGTGGACCTGCCTTCAGGTTCAGCTCCATTTGTGGAAGATCTTCTAAGCTCCAGAACCACAGCGCAGACAGAGACCAGAACTCATCCCGACAAAGACCAAAGTGCCTCTAAAACGAAGGCGTCAAAAACGAAGAAGGCTGCACAGTCCCTTTCCAAAACCAAAACCAAAGATACCTCTAGTTCTCCTCCACCTCCAGCAAATGAAAGTAGTGCAGAACCGTGTTTAAGAGACGACCTCTGGGTGGACAACGAGGGGGAGATTGTGGATTTGAATGTGAATAAGATGCCTCTTAAAATCAGGAATGGTCCCAGGCCAGGATTACTCTCAAGGTGATGGTGAAAGCGGACGTTAGACCAGTAAGCACCATCCAGTCGGTTCAGCAGCCGAGCACCTGAGCCAGATCAAACGCGGATGATCTAACCGCAAACCAATCAGACCTGCGTACAAGTTCTCAGTCCAGCTTTCCACTTCCCAACGGGGGACTCGAGAAGATGTTGATAGCTGCAAATCTGTGTCAGACCAGCCTCCCAGCACCAGTTCACAACATAAAGAGCTACAATCTGTTAAGAGAAAAAGTTCAAAGTCCAGAAAAATACCTTTAATCTCCCTGCAACATGATGATTCCCCTCAGCCTGAACTAACCTCCCTTACAGCTCCACTCCTTTCTGGCCACCTATCAGCTCAGGTGAGCCAAGCCAAGTCCCTTCCACATACAGCCAGCATGAAAGAGGGGCTGAAGCTGGGCCACCACGTGACAGGACTCCCCACAGTATCACCACCACTCGCCCAGATTGCAAGCCCCCGTCTTTCCCCTCGTGCACCACAAACTCTGCCGACGATGGTGGAGACATTGAGAGCTGATAATGGGTTGACAGTGGAGAAGTTGCAGCTCGGGGTCAGAAAACCAAATACTGCTGATAATGGGACTGAAGGTCAGTATTTGACAGTAAAATGTCGGGTATTGAACCTCAAAACCTTGTTTACGTATTATTTAATATCAGTTTCTGATTTAAAGGGTAATGTTGCCAACTTTAGACCACTTTATTTCAGCAAAAATGGTTTAGAAAACCTCTTAAGAACTTATGGCCCCTTTTGTTAAATTTAAAAAAAGGGTTTCATAGAAATACATGTTTGTGTTCCTCAAAGTGAGGTACTGAAAACGGGTGTTGATACGGAATCTAAGGTATGGTATTGGAGGATGTGTTTTGAGTGTGTATCTGTGTGTGTTAGTGCATTGATTCTTCATGGGTGTCATCATTTTAGTTGCTCTGACACAGCGAAGTCTCGGACAGGTGAGACTGAGGGAGTTTCCCAAGTGGTTGGCCTACAAAGCTCCGAGCCGTCCAAGAGATGTAGTGAGCATGGTGCAAGGAGGTGAATGTCACACACATCTCACTCCAATACATATATATGTTGTATAAAAAATATGTGCGCGTGATTGTATGCTTTTAAACATGACATTTACATAGCCAGCAGCCAATTAGCTTGGCATAAAGACAGGGGAAACAGCTAAGGGGGGAATCCACCTGCCAGCACCTCGAAAACCCACACATATATTCACGTTACATATAGTTTGTATAATGACAGTTTGTGAGCTTCATGATGGCAAAATTCTAGCTAATCGTCCAGGAAGTCAATGCTCTCAGGCAAGAAATAGTCTGACACACAACTCCCTGTAAAACCACAACGTGTTGTTTTGCTGCTGCTTTGGTTCTTGTGCAGATTTAACAAATCTTCTCTTCTCTCATCTAATTTCCAAAACGTTTAAATATTCCTTTATTATTCCTTATAAGTGTTATGTATGAAGTTTAACATACATTTCCCACCCTCCTCCTCTCTGCTTCCATCAGGCTGGCAGTGGTATTACAAGAAGTATATTGATGTGAAGAAAGGCGGTGTAGGTGGGCTGAGCATGTTGTTAGCAGGATACTGCGTGCTCAGCTACATCTGGAGTTACCCTCACATAAGTAAGTGTGTGGATTTCTCTCAGTGTTGCTTGATGTAAAGGGCTACATAGATTTGGAGATGACTGGTTTTCTGTGTCTTCCAGAGCGTGATCGCTGGAGGAGGTACCACTAAGACAGAGGGAAGATGTTTGGACAAGCGAGACTCTGTATGAGGAAACAGCAGCTGTGACAGAGGGAGGGGTTCGGGACTCTTAAGTATTTATTCTGTTAATAATATATAATGAATCCAGATCCAAATATTTCCACTGGAGGTTTGTCTGAGAAACTGGTTTCTGGTCAATATGTGCAGTCTCCTTGTCAACAGTTCAAAAGAAAAAGGTCAATATTTTGGAAATGCGGCGATCAAGACAAATCTCATAAATATTAAGCTGCTTTGCTTAGTTAGCATAGCATGAAGACTAAAAACATGGAAACAGCTATACTGGCTGTGTCAAATGTTAACAAAACCCACCTACCGGCACCTAAAGCACTAATTAACACCTTATATCTTGTTTGTTTAATCCGTACAAAAATCGAGGTGTAAAAAACATCAATTTGCCATTTTACTGGTGTTGTATGGTGCCAAGGAGAATATCTTGGCTTATGTGAAAGTCCAGGAAGTTGCTGGTTGTGTTAGCCCCAAAAAATGTTAAAAATGTTAATTAAACAAACAAAATATAAGGAGTATGTTTTGGCTTTGAGTAGTTGCCCGACAACCAGCAGAAGTTGCTGGTTGGGTTAGCCCCATGAAGAAATGTTAAAAATGTTAATTCAACTTAAAATAAACAGTTAATAAGTTAACTTTAAAGGTGCCGGTAGGTCGCTTTTGTTACCAGTTCTGGCTGAGCTAACCAGCTGCTGGATATTGCCTCGTATTTAGTGGAGAGATAAGAGCACGGTTTCAATTATTTCATTTAATATATATATTTCTGGCATATATAAGGTGCCAGAAAAAAATAAGCCAATATCCTGAAATGTTGAACTATGCCTTTAACAACTGGAAGAGTTGTGATTCTGAAACCAGTAGCTTCATTCTTGACTGATTTGCACTTGTATAGGACATCTAAAATGAAATACTGCACTGTAATGACCTTGTTTTATTTCAGATTATTTATTTACTTATCTATGTTTATGTTATTAGGTCTGTTAGTATCTTATTTTTTTTTAGGAATGAAAAATGCTCACAAGAGAACTACTAATAATTACTCTTTATTGGGCCACTGTGTGTCTCAAGGGCTCCACTAGGTGTCATTGTTGAGTTGTGTTACCAAAACCAACGGGGCTGGGCAGTCAAATGTTTGCTATGCAGAGTTTTCTTAGCTCCTTTGTGCAGAGGCATTGGTGCTGGGGCTCCATGAGAGGATTAAAGGGAATCAACAGATTTTTAACTTGATAAAATCTTACTGTGGCAGCCCAGAAACATGAAATTCAAAACTATCCTGATATTAGTATGTAAAGCTCGTATACGTGTAGCAGAGGGTCGCAAATCATGTTTTTTCTTTTGCAAAACGCTTCCCCCCCCCCCCCCCGTCACATGATGTTATTATGCATGCTTAGTCCGTCAGTGCCAGTTTGTGAACACTCTCAGAATAGTAATGGAGGGACGCTGAAGGAGGTTCTCAGCTGGACTGGACCAGTTTGTTATTGTATTCAAAATGAATTTATTGTTGACTCTCCTCGCTGCTGTAGTGAACACACATTAGCTACATATGAAGAAATGACAGTATGTTTTGTAATGTTTTGTTTTTTTTTCCTGACGCCGCTTCTTAGCCAACACAATAAAAAATAATTTCCATTCCACTTTTTTTTGTTTGTTTTACATTCTTTTTTTTTTTCTCCATACAAAAATTATAAATATTTTGTGTTTCACTTTTCATTTTTATACAAAACAACAAACTATACAAATCAAGTGAGACAAAAAAAATAACAGTGAAATGGAGGCAGAAATAAAACCACATCTCTGCACTGAAAACAGGGGAGAAAAAGCACAGTATGTTCCTACCAGGCTCTCAGACACTGATATGCATCGAGATAACACGTTTCACCAACACTGGACACATCCCTACTTCTTTTGTGCGAGTCTAAAACTAGCTTTTCTTGTGGATATAAGTGCTATAGAGGCACAAAGTCTTGCAGGAACTGCTTGAAGGAGCAAATAAATCTCACGTGACCCCATACATGTCATTAGAGATTAGCTTTTCAAAGCAGAGAGCCCAGTTTTTCTCACTGGTGTGCACTGGTAGATATCAGAGGTCTATAGGCAGAGATACAGGCGGGCTGCGATGGCCACTGGCACTCAAACACAAAATCTATCACCCCATGTAAAAGGCCTTCGGTCTGCTCCTGTAGCCCATTGGCAAGCATATTTCACAGACACGTTAATAGAAGAAAGGTGACGCTATCCAGAATCAACTCGAAGAGCGTTTACCACGTTTAACCTAAGCTTTGGTCCTATGTTCGGGTTGGCAATCGCCCTTCCTTGTTTAGTGCAGATATCTGTTGGTTAATCTGCAAAAAAGTCATTCCAAAAACAGAAATACATGGTGGATATTTAGGATTAATTCTTTATCATAATGAAACACGTCACAGTAAGGTAAGTTTCTGCTCTAGAAACTAAAGGAAAACTCAACAAAACTAGGACACAGCGGGAGCCCCTAGTCATTTTAGAGGCACAGCTTCAGGGGAAACACTAAAGCCACAGAGCTGTTTAAATCACCAGCACAAAGACAAAAAGATCTGACAGTGATTCTGGACAAGACCACACTCTCTCCTATTATGAATTTTGGTTGCGCTGCTGAGAGGGAAAAAAAGACAGGAAATGTGAGAAATGCTTGAAATGAAACGCTGCAAAGTGAGAAAACATCCTGCGGGACTGAACTAACACTTGGGAATAAAGTCAAGAGTATGGCAATCAAACAACCAAACTACATTAAAACACAGCCATAGACCAGTGTGTGTGTATGCAACACACACACACACACACACACTGATAAACATGTCAAGGTTGTAAAGCATAGATAGATATGATCAATATATCATTATACTGTATGCAGAAGGCAAACAAATATACGTACAATCAACGACCCTCGAGGGTCATTTAAACTAATGACGGTATCGTCATGTTCACAGAGCTGGGGAACACATCACAACAAACAAAAACAGTCATCTTTTTTTAATGTCATTTCTAAAAATGAGGAAATAAAAATCTAAATTAAAAAAATAAAACATATTGTAACATATCTTCCTCAATCTGAGGACTGAGCTCCCCTGACACAAACTGTGAAATGATAAAAGTGGTTGAGATCGAGATTCGTCCTGTGTCGGGGCTTGCATACCTTTAAGGTACAAAAGAAAAATGCCAAAGAAAATGTGACTTAAGCACAAGAAAGAAAGCATTGCTGAGTACAGTTACACTACTAAATATGACTATGTGACTAGTTTGACTGGTTTCTAGTGTGATTAAAAGAGGTTATCCTTGTTGCAGGCAGCTGAAAGCAGGCAAATAGATTTTGGTTCAGTTCCAAATGTTCACATTCGGTTTAGCCTAGCGTACACTGTATATCAACGAGAGCCTCATATTCATATAGTTCCTGAAATAAGCAACAGTACGTTTAGTGCAATTTGTCTATGTGAATGTATCTCTACTGAGCTTACCTTAAAGGAAATCTACACCTCTGAACCATGAATCTAAACACATTGTACTAAAGCGTGTTTGTGTGTGTGCGTTTGTGCACGTTTGTAATGCGAGAAGGAACCGAGTGAATGGATATTTTTTGAATAGAGCTTCTTCATGTAAACACTTCAAAATAAAAACCTACAATTAGGCACAGAGTCGTCATTTTGTCCCTCCTCCTCATCCCTGTTTTTCAGCATAGGTAGTGGGGGGTAATCAACTGGCACAAAATATTAATGGTGTGTGTGTGTGTGTGTGTGTGTGAGTGAGAAGAGAGGGACACTCTTACATTCAAGCTACTGAAGTCACAGACCATACCCTTTTTTTTAAAATAAGGTTAAAATAAACAAAACAACAACATTCTCCATCTGTTAGTCCATTGCACACATTCCCGGATCTTTATAGGTAATTTCAGGTACCTGTTTTCACCCGGCACCCTGACGGAGTCCCTGACTCCTACGTCATGCCTCAAAAACCCCCCAAAATGAACCGAAAAGAACTAAATACATGCTACATGGCCGGAGATGGTATTACAAAGATAACAAGACCTGAAAGAAGAGTAAACCTCTCTTCACACAGGGTTGTGGGCGAAACACCACAAATATTACAACAGGAGAGTTGGACAAAAAGAAACACACACACACACACAAAAGAATTTGAAACCATACATTAGGGATGATCAGTCTTAACATTCCAAGATGCTGTTGACTGCCGCCTCCAGAGCAGAGTCTGTGTCGGGATGAGGGGGTGAGGTGAGCTGAGGAGGGTACTGGGGCTGGATTGGGTGGGAGGACAGGTGGTGAGACACCTGGTAGTGCGTCTGTCCTCCTGCCGTTGCTGCAAAAGGTGAAGGGTTACCTTGGGGATAACTGTTGGCAGCGGTGAGGCTGTTGTTGCTGCCGCTGCTGGGCCCATAGTGTTGCTGGGATTTCTTCAGTTCCAGGACGCTCTTGTTTTCTAAGTGTGGAGGGTGGAGCTTATCTGCTGCCCCCGTACCTACGGCCCCACCCCCTCCCGGGTCTCCATACCCGGGCTGGGAGTCTGTCCTGTACGGTGGCTCAGAGGAGCCTCTGTCTGACTCATTCCAACTACAGATGGACAACGACTGAGAGGGGGGGGGATCTTGGAAAAGTTTGGATTTCATCCCACAGCAGAAGTCTTCCAAGAAGCTGTCTATAAAACAAAGAGGAGTTAAATAAGACCGGTGAGAACATAATTTGCTCCAAATGGCTGTAATCCTTTTTTATTTGTTTTACCTGGATCCACTAGTACCATGCGTTTGTCTTGTGTCAGGTTGCTGCGCTCCTCTTGGTTGAAGGTCCTGTCAATCATAACCATTTCTGATGACGGACTGGAACGCTGCGGGGGTGGGGGGAGGGAGAGGCAACCTGTTAGCCCTGTGCCTGTCATAACATGAAACACATGTATGTATGCAGCCATATGCACACGTGCGGACCTACCTCAGCTTCCACCAGTAGCAGCCGTCTGTATTTGTTCACCATGGCGTGGGTCCTCTTCAACACCTGAGTTGCAACTACCTCAAATTCATCATCCACTGTAAACAAAACACACAAAAGCTCAATTTTTACAAGGTACTTTAATTCTGCAAACACAATGTACTCTCAGCATAAACGTGCTGCTCTTTGTGGCTGCAGTTTCCTGCCTGTTGTGCAGATTTAGGTTGAAGATAATAAAATCAAAGCCGTACCCTGTGAGAACTCATCCTGGCTGGGTGGAGTCCCCTGGAACACGTGGTATGGCAGGAGTCTTTGCAGTGCGTCGTCGATTGAAGTGAATCTACGCCGATCTGAGGTCTGAACTCCAGCATGATCCTTCCTCAGCTGCTGTAAAATCCTTTAGAGATGACATGAAAAAGAGACAAGCTCCTTCAGTGGTTGAATGACAAGCTATACAAACATGAGACAACACAAAATATCTAAATATTGTACAGTAAGTTAAAGAAATAACTCACATTCCTCCTCTTGTAAGTGGCAGAAGGGCAGGTCTCTTCTGAGCACTGACCTGGAAAGATAAAGTATACATACCAAAGTTGTTATAACACCACCGATATCACCCCCTATCAGCATGATTCACCTTAAATATACGCTGACATGAGTGCAAAACGTTGAAAAAGAGTTGCAGAATGAGTGATATACCTGAGAGTTTAGCGTTGAATCTTGAGTCATGGTTGTCATGGCTAAGAGAGATCAACAAAGAAACCTCGTTAGGTCAAAGTGGAGCAGTTAAATTTATTCATCACTGACAAAAACATTAATCAACGTTTGTTACCATGGATGCTGCTGAGCTGCACCTGTCTGTCCTGTTTGAGGGCAGGTGATGAAGAATTCTGAAGGACCAAAATTAAAAGTCAGATAAAAGTTGTCAGGAAATAACAAAACAGTCTGAAAATGAACTGCCTCGTACCTGTCTGTAGTCTTGCTGATCCTGTGTCACAGTACAAGGTAAAGGGGACAGAGAAGTGCAATTCTGAGTCTGAGTCACTAGAAGGCGCTGAACGGAGCCAGCCGTCACTTGGCTTTGACCGCCGATCCCCGCCGTCGCCGGGCCGACCAGAGTCAGCCGCCCAGGAGCGCACGATGTCTGCACGGGAGCGGAGCTAGCGCAAGAAACTCCGGTCCACGTTTGAGTTACAGCCCCTCCGACCTGACTCCCACCGACTACTCCCTGATTCAAAATTAGCTGGCCTCCTGTTTGTGCAGTGAAGTTCTGCCCCGCGACAATCTGCACCGCATTCTGACTGGTAATTAGGGCATTTGAGTTGGGGTCAGCGGGGCCATTGTGGATGGCGCTGGCCGGAGTGAGTGCCAAAGAGCTGGGCAGCAAGTACTGTCCAGGTTGAATATTTGTCTGGGCCTGTGCTTGTTGTTGCTCCAGGGGCGGCTGCACCACTATGGAGCCGTTGGCTGTGTACTGTCCCCCAGGAGTAGCAGTGTTAGCGTTAACTACATTAGCCATGGTGGTGGGAGTGGGCTGAAGACCAAGGCTGTAGACAGTCTGAGCCCCAGCTTGAAGGGGTTTAGGCTGGATAGGTCTGACAAGAGTCTGGGTCCCTCCCGGGCCTCTCTGGATGATGATGTTTTGAAGGGGGATGTTTTTGAAAGGCAAACCAACTTGGCCCACCTGCCCTTGTGTAGGAGCAAACACCTGCCCCTGTGTTACTGTGCCCGCTGTAGATACAGGCGCCCCCGGCCTCAGCACAATCTGAGGAGATCTCTCCAAGCTGCTCAGAGTCATCACGCCACCACCCGTCCCAAACGAACCCAACACCTGGATGTGCTGGGCGGAGCCGTTGGGCACCCCTTGCAGGAACTGGCCCGTGGGGAAAGCAGCTGTCGCCGTGGTTACCATGCCCACTCCCCCTCCGTAACCCCCAGAGACCAGCTGGGAGGGGAAGGGAACGGGAGCCTGCACTAGAGTGGGAGCGGGCTGGGAGTCCAGTAAAGCCTCCTGGGCCAACGTCTGCTCCGTGATATCGGCCTCCATGAGCGACTTCTGCAGGATATCGAAGGGCTGGTCCTCGCCCCCGAGATCCACCCCTCCAGGGGAGGTCTCTGGCCCCAATTCATCCTCGATAAATGAAAGGCTACTGGAGAGCTGAAGGTCTGCGCCTGTTGAATCCTCGCCGAACTCCCCCATTGAAGAGGAGCCATCCTTGAGGCCAGTGTTGGAGCCAGCCTACGGGAAACATTCAGATCATGTGAACTGCATATGACTGTAGATCTACTTTTACCATCAGTACAAAAAAGGGAACTTTATTATGAACTTTTTATAATATATTTTTTATTTATCTCCACACAAAATAACATCCATTAGAGTATTCCCCCTGATTAGGACGACCTGGGTTCAGATATTCAGATATTCAGATATTTCATCTTTCTTGGTTCTTTAAAGAACCAGCAACTAACTGAACACTGCTCACATCTGTATTTGACAACCTGGGAATGAGGAACTTGCAAATGATGTGAAAGGCCCTATGTACAGCCAGAGTTTGGTTTGTCCTGTAGATAAAAACAGCTGTTTCTAAGGTAACAAAAACACAACAAGTCCTACATTCAGGTGATTATACACTAAAGAAAACAAACAAATGAATATCATACTCCATTTTCTCCCAGTAGATCCTCCTAAATGTTACACACTGGACCTTTAAGTCTAGTGAATAGATCCTCTCTCGAGACAAAATCCCCCTAAAAGCCTGAGAGTACACTCACCGTGTCACTAGCAAAGAAGGATCCATCCGAGCCGTAAGCTGCATTTGTTACATCATCCTCCTCAATCTGCAGAAACAAGGTTCAACAAAGACTGAATGGACTCAGTTCCTTTATGCAACAAGTTGAAGTAACTATTCACACACACACACACTTAGTGAAGAATGAACACATTCTGAAAGAGTCACTCACAGACTTGCTGTTGCTGCCATGGAGATAATCATTCAATGCATCCACATCTCTGAAAGGAGAACAGAACAAACCTTAAAACAGGTCTAATATAACACATTTATTTTCACTAATGTGTGATTTAACTCATCCAGAGTAGAAGTGACACAAAAACGTTTCGTAATAAATCTCTTGTGAATGGGGCCTTTAGATTATTAACTTCCCTAATTTGACAAAGTTTGCAGACACTCGTGGCTTTGATTTCAAACAGGAACCCTCATCATATTGCCTAACGATACTTTAAAAAAAGAGACAAATGTACATATGTGTGGACAGATTGTGGAACTGCCTGGTGAATACAAATGTCAGTGCGGAGGTTTTTACCCTAAAATATCCAGAAGACGGCGATCGTCCTCATCATCCATGACACCTGAAAGATTATGGAGTGATTTAGGGACAGAACGAAATAAGGCGAGAAGATCATAGAAGTGTAGTATGGAGTAAAGAGTTGATCATTTGTGTTTTAATGTGTATAAATCAATGGCAAATAGCTTCATTTATCATGACAATAAACCGTGCTTTTGGTTTTATTCTGATGTAGGTGTGTACTGAGTTGTATAAAGCTTAAAATATGTATTGTTATGTTGGTAGTAAGCACATCTCACTCACAGATTTCCTGCAGGAAGCATGGATTCAGTCATTTAACACCCTTTGTTTTCTGGGCTGTAGGGTGAGAAACTGTGTTTAGTAAGATTACAAGATTATAAGTGTGAGATAGAGGGACTGCTTGAGAGTGGGGGTAGCGGAGATAGAAAGACAGCGATGGGTGTGTGTATGTGTGTGTGAGTGAAATGGGGGGGTGGAGAGGAAGAAGGGGGGACAGATCTGTATGTAAGTAAAGGGCAGGATGGCCTTCATCCCCTCCTACAGATGTTTGTCTGTGACACACCAACTCCCACCCATTACCCTGCTCTGCTGTCCCGCATTGGTTGTCTTTCCAGTCTGTATAGTGTAAACGGGCATTTGAGTGTAAATAACTCCACCCTTGCTCCACTTATAACTTGAATGGCTGTTTTGAGTTTCTACATTGGAAAGAGGTCTTGGCTTTATGTTGTGTCAGCCAGCCAGACAGCAAGTATGCAGCTATCTTGGTGCACCATTAATAAAAAGGGGAACAGGAACAAGTCCATCAGCACTAATTTGATACAGCAGAGTAATGGGGTATGAGTGTTTGGATATCTAACAGGTTACTTTATCTATTTTAATGTAATAGTTGTACTTATGAATATGTAGATATACATGTGTGAGAGTGTCAAAATTCCTTTAGTCACTATAATCCAGTATTTGAACAAAATGGTGTTTAATTTAGGTTATTTTGTACCGTGTTAAAGTCATGGAGTAAACATAGGCTGGGTAAAATGTTTCAACTGCAATGCTACAAAATGGCTGTTACCATGACATGGGCTGTCTTTACAACTTAGCCACGTTCAGCCTCCATCTTTGGTCCAGGGAGAACAAAGAACGACAGGACTGCTGTACAAACTTGGGTGTTTAAAAACTGACTAAAAAAAAATACCACAAAAAACTGCTAAAGCAAATTAAATCATAGGGTATTTAGTAGTTTCTTTTTTAACATATCCGTACCGAATACGCTACATTTTCTCGTTAGAAGGGGATAGGCTACCACATGCCTCCTTTGTCCTTCAAAAGTGTTACAAAAATGTGGAGAAGCAAATGTCGACCCTTTCCAAACAAACAAAACGGAAACCAAACTATTAACATAGTGCCATTTTATTTCACACCAAAAAAAAATCCAGTTGTGGACTGTTTATATATGTAAAATAAATAAAATATCAGTTATCAGTAATCCAACAGAATCATCAAACACGACCGTTAAATCCAACATTTAAATATCGGCAGTTGAGCATTCCATAATTCAACTGAAACTACAACGTTAGTTAACATTACATTTAAAAAAGGGAAAAGAAGAACAAGACAGAGCTAAAGTGCCTATGCTGGACCAAAAGCGAGTACGTTTAGTGTCTCAGAAGCAGAGGATTTGAAGATATAAAGGCGATTTTGATCAAACGTGTTAAAATAAAGCCAACGTCCCCGAAACGCTGTAACATTTTGTATAATTTTCGAGCTCAAATTCAGCCTCCGAAATCCGCCCTAGCATGGATGCATGTCTCGACGCAAGCCAAGCTAGTGCCCCCCCACACACCACCACCAGTTCGGTGTGGCGTGTTTTTTTTTTCTCCTCCTAGTAAGCCAGCTAATGTACAGCTTGCAAGTTTTTATTTCCAAAAATAGACTGAATCGACGGAATGATAATCGCATTCAAGCAGCACAAAACGCCCGTCGTCCAGCCCGTGGCTGGTCGTCGCTGACGTGATCTTTTCTGTCTCTGCTGGGGAGGCTTTCATTTGTCCTCTATGTGGCTCATCTGCCAGCATGAAAAAACGTCACATTTGTCTCGATATGTCGAACCGACGCGTTTCAATCGGGGTATTCTGTATCAACCCGTGTCCTGGGTCGGGTAGCTCCCGGTAACGGCACGCTCCGCGACATTTTTTAACGGCAAAAACATCGGCCTGTTCTGGTTAGCTAGCCGCGGCGGTGTCGACGACGACGCCTATTTTGAAAAACGACGGTTGGAATTCGTTGAAAATGCCACGGGACTGAACCGTTGCCCCGGCCATACATTTTAATCCCGATTAGCAAAACATAAAGACGACTCAAAAAGAGGCAAACCCTTTTACTCCTGTCTCACTCCTCTTGAAACCCAATATCTCCATTTGGCAACTTTTAATTTGCTCCCCCCCTCCTTCTCCTCCTCCTCCTTCTCCCTCTCCCACTCATATATTTTTCTCACTGTCCCTGTTCTGTCTCGGATAGATTTTTCTCTCCGCTCAAACTCTCTTCCCTCCCTGAAGGAAGGGAGGAAGGAGGTTGTGTGTGTTTTTTCCTTGAAATTTTTATCACAAAATTATAATACACTCAAAGGGAAACTCACCGTCATGAAAAAGCAGTGCCTTGTCAACGGGGTTTCCTCGCCATCACCGCACGGGTTGTTGGGGTAGTGCACAGAACAAGGCAGCCCAAATCATCAGTCCACAATGGAAGCACACGACTCGAAATTTGAATAGAAAATAAAGCCTAAAAACAAACTACAAGTTATTAATATACACGTATTTTTTTTTATATTAATATGAATTATAATAGCGTGTTTCACTGCCCTCATGAATTACAGATAAATGTTATTAGACTTAATCATTACCAACGGTAGAGGGCGGGCCTTTGATGTGTGTGCCACACCTTGACGTAGCTCAGGTATGACTGCTGTGTATTAAAGTGCTTCCTAGTTACCTGCCAGTGCACGGTTTCTATAATCCAAGTCCATTAGGTTAATACAGTATTCAGTTTGTCGTTGTAGTTGGAAGATTTGGTTTAAATTCCACTCACATTATGTATTATTTATTATAGAATTTCACTTTGTGTCTTTATTTACTTTGAAATACCACCAAAGACTGTATATAACTATAAATATCATAATATTATATATATTTATACAGTAAATATATATAAAATGTGAAGTAAACTAATAGGATTTTAACAAATATTGTGCATATAATGATAATTTATCTGTGGAGATCTGGTTTTAATCAATAAACCGAAACACATATAACACACTTGTCCAGATATACATAAAACCAGGAAAATATATATTTTTTAAAAACTATAAATAGCACATAACACAAAATAGATGCTATACATAATATTTAATATAAAATCATGATACCAACAAAGATTGCCCTTTCTATGCTGTTACAGTAAACAGAAGTTGTGTCATGTCCACTTATCGTATAAACAAAATATAAATAGTAGTCTACTTGTTTTTTATAAACTTCTATATAAATATCTGACATCAGCTTATAGGCTGTTCAAAATGTTTGCTTCCACACACTAAAAACACTTTAGATCCTATAGATCAATATGTATAAATTACCATTATGCTTACTATTACCTATAACACCTGTGAATATATTCCAGTGCCTGGCCATATAAACATTTATACACATGCCCTGTTGCTTAACACGCCCAATTAACTGTACTGGAAACAACCATTTTATTTATTATTATATTATTATATTTATCATTTATTTAAATACATACAACTACAACTTAAATTACAATTTTTATTACATTTAATTGTATTTCTTATTGATTCTTACAGAAAGTTGACCGTGTGTGTGTACATGAATTCCTGATTACATTTATTGTAAACGACAAACAAAATAAATACATAATTTTAAACAGGCACAACAACAACAATTACCAGGTGCACTTTGAGTAATAATTTTACATTGTGGGTTAAAGTTAGGTCACTATAACATATATATAGTTTAGATTTCACTATGTATTTATAATGATTGTGTATATTACTTCGAGCCGTGTGCCCTCCGGTACAGTAGGGGGCGGTAGGCGCTCTCTAACTGCGGCACAAGAAGACAAATATAACGCTATATCATTTCCGCAACAACAACATGGAGGCTGCGACTGAAGGGAGTCTGGAAACCGCGTTGGACGGCGCCGCCAAGATACAAGAGCGACTCCAGAGACGACACCAGACGAGGATAGAGGATGTCGAGCGGAGGAAGGAAGCTAAAGAGAGCCAGTCCGTGGCGGAGGAGAAGGGAGACTATTTCTCCAGCGCCTTTAACGCGGAGCGGGCGGCCATCGAGGAGCTGCTGTCCGGCTGCTCCGGAGCGGACCGGGCGGTGCTGACCCAAACGCTGGAAGAGGCGACGGCCAAAATCCTCCAGCTGCAGAAGTTTCTGAACGACAGCGTGTTGTTTCTGAAGCAGTACGACCTGAGACAAGCGCAGGCGGCTCTCCAGAAGCTGCAGACCTCCCTCGCTGAGACCAGAGACGAGGCTCTGCCCAAGAAGAAGTTCGCCTTTAAGGCCCGTGCCAAAGCATCAGATAAAGCCCCCGCGCCTGACACACCTGCCCCACCTGCCCCGGACACCGGCACACCTGCAGAGCCCGGTGGCACCACGGTTGATGGAGCTGCAGCCTCGGAGCAGTGCAGCTTCTCCCACATGGACAGTGTGCGTCTGATAAAGACAGCTGAGGAGATCCAGAAACGAGACGTGCTGTTGACCCACCTGACTAACTGCAAGGTCCGTCTGCTCGGCTCCCCCAGCACCCTGCACCTGAAGCACATCGACACCTGTGAGATCCTGTGCGGGCCCGTGACTAGTTCAGTATTCATTGACCACTGCAGAAACAGTACCCTGGCCCTCCCCTGTCAGCAGCTGCGGACCCACAACACCACAGACACACAGGTGTATCTGCACGTCACCAGCCGGGCCATCATAGAGGACTGTCAGCGAGTGAGCTTCGCCCCGTTCACCTGGTCGTACCCCACCCTGGAGGAGGACTTCATTGTGTCTGGCCTGGACAAGAACCGGAACAACTGGAGCCAGGTGGATGACTTCAACTGGCTCGCTGCGGGAACGCCTTCCCCTAACTGGACTGTCATACCGGAGGAGGATAGGAAAACCACTTGGGAGCCCTAGAATTCCTCTCTTAAACACCTGTCAGACCCAACCATGAAATTAAATGTTGTTAGTAGATGTCCTCCACTGAATGTGTTGCACTTAGGCGTTGTATAATATGAACATTTCATCTCACTTTTGATCTTCTTGACCAAAGTAATGGTACAAAATATACTTACTTATATACTGGAATCACTTTACTTTACATCATTTCGTACGTAACATACGTTTCTTGCATCGTAGATAGAAACCTCATCTTCCCATTCTTTATTTTGAAATCTATATTCGAATACACACATGCATAAAACGTGTAAGCCGAGCCTTCAGCCGCGGTGACAGGCTTCAGGCTTTAGAATAACCGAGCAGACGTGGACTCCACATTGTCGCCTTGTACACAATAAATCAGATGTTGATGTAGGACTGAATGCTGGTGAGCTGGACGGCTTTTTCAACTCAACCCATGTGAGGATATTCACAATTAGTAACAGCAATTCACCACAATATTCTCTATTATTGCAATACGCAATAACATCATATATCCCGTCCCGTCCCTAGTTGCAATGCTGCGTCTGTATAGAGCAAGGAAAAGGTGAGACAGCGCGTCCACTCTTTTGTTGTTGTATTGTAGGCTCGTATTCTTTTCGTTATGTCTGGTGCAACGGACACCTTGTGCGGAACAAGCTGGAAAAAATGCCTAAACTCAGAACGCAAAAAAAGATACGAATAAGATACGTGATGGGACAAACTGGACACTGCGCGATATGTTAGATTTAGATGGCCTGTGTTTTTTCTTGTGTGTGCAAAAAATTAAAATCTGCATCATTGGGTAGGTTCTGGTTTGTTTGATTTACTGCGTGCTGGACTTTGCAGATTCTTGGTGGCGCCCGAAGGGCGTTTTATTTGTTTGATTGCAGATACCTTTCAGACCGAATAAGGTTGGAATTGCGTAGTACAGAATGAGAAGAGACTGCACTTTACAGATTGTTGATCAGATGTAGTGGGTCACTATGCGCTGCAAGGGCTAACGAATGCATTTTTGTATTGTGATTGTTGATTACAGATGTAATTTTCTAAATTAGAATCGCTCTTTTCGCAAAAATGTCTTCGGTGCTTGTTTTTTTTGATCCGACACAAGGGTCCCAAACCTAAAGATATTGTTACGGTGTACTGTCACGAGGACAAAGGTGAAGGCAACATTTCTTACATTTGTGGAAGGTGGAAACGGCAGGTGGTTGGGGGACTTGAAACAATGAGATGTATGGAGGTTAGGGGTTAGTCTTCAGTCTCAACAGTTGCTGGCGCTCAATTTTCTGGGGTACCCGAGCTTTTTGGCCATATAGCCTTGGACACCTATAATTATGGTCAGAGCCACGAGATGTACTATAAAACAGAGCGCTGTCAGAACACTGAGATGTGTTTCCCTTAGGGGGGCGGACCATTTCAGGGTCTCACAATCTTACTGTTATTATCAGACTAAGGTACTCTACAAGGGCTAGGGGAGGCGTTGACATGTGAGTTGCGCATAACCATTCTGCGTTAATGTAGGGGATATTGGCATCAACGCACTAAATGGTCCTTCGGCCATAGAGCAGGTGGGCGAATGGCCCCACTTCACTTGGTATATTGTTGTCTCATTGAGTCTTATACAGGTCTAGTTAGATAGCTAATTTATCTGGGACGTATTTTCTGGAACCAATATTACATTTTTCACACTATAGTGAGTAAATTATAGGGTAATTTTCTGCTTCCTGCTTCAGCCTACATAATATCGTCTGCCAGTATCGGTTAAAAGTCCATAATAACTCAAACTAAGGGTAAAGCAGCCAATTATCTCACCCTACTCAAATAAGTACAAATCCAGGGTCTTCATTTATAGTGGAGGTTGGAATAAAAGAACAAAGAGCACTGTTTCCTAACATTGTGTTGCCTTTCATGCTGCTGCAACCCTTCGAATGCCTTTAAAATACTATACTTCTGTCTTACGAATAAACGGTTATATGGATCAAAAAGCTGGGTCTGATTTGACTATCTTTATGAATGCATTATAAAGGGACGCGCAAGAACTGTTGATATGAACTGAAGATTACTTATAATAAACTGCTCTACTAGCTTGTTAATAAATTCTAGTGATCAGTTGTTTACTCAGTAACAAAGGACGTACTCTCTCCCTCGTTTCACCTTTCACAAATGTATAGACTGCAAAAATGTTTGCAACTCTCCCTATGGAGTTTGTTTTCGTTTCTGGGATGTGTGACTAGTAATAGTAACATATCCTTTAGGTTTGGGACTTTTTGGTCGGATCAAACAAGCAATCCTGTAGTCTATGGTATTTGAAGATTGCGATAATCTCTTTTTTATGTTATATATATGTCATTATCTGTAATAATAACACATTCACCTAAAAAATATATGACCCTGGCTCTCGTTAGTACTGCCAAAACGCACCTAAAGTAACTACTCACTGAGATAACATTGTAAGTTGCAGTCTTTTTTCAATTTTCTGTAGTCAATTTCTAAACTTATTGGTTGAAATTGTATCTGGCTAAATAAACAAATATAAGTTTGTGATTTTGACTCCACCAGGAAATCCAATAAACTTTTTGACTATGCCGTACGGACCATGCAGGTTAATAGTAAACACAAACAAAAGCATAAACCTTATACCAATAACCTAATGTCTAGATTTTATTAATTTTTGAACTACTCATAGTAATAATTTAAATTATATCAGAACTGGTTTGTTTGATATCCAAATATAATTTGGATTAAGCCTGACGATGTCTGAATCTAACTCTGTACAATGTAAAGACTATTTAAATTTTTTTTTATGTATTTTTGTTTTTAAAGCTTAGGCAAATTCTCTCCTCGATTAGTGCTCGCCTCGATGTTGTTGGGCAAAAGAATACGAGTGCGTACACACCTTTTCATTTATACAACCGGCAAATGACCTACCCATATTTACTCTTTACCATTTTGCCTTGCTCATATTATACAGACGCAGCATTGCAATACTATAAACGAACGGTTTAGATATAATTGATGTGTTAATTAGCGTATAATGCTAACTAAATTTAAGAGCACATTAATAGTGTGAGGCGTAGTTAATAATTGGTCTTTTACTTAATTAGTAGATATATTCTCACAACTTTCTTCTCCGCGCTCTCGCGCTTCGACCCGCCTGTAACGCGCGAGCTACAATTATCGGCATAGTTCCTGATATTCTGCATCTACTTGATCATATGCTTTGAAATCTTATTATGTTGTACCAAACATATAACTGCGCCTGAGTAGAGGCATTGGATGAGCAGATCACTAGCTTGACGTTCTGCGTATCTTGATCAGACATATGAATATCTAGAACAAGCCTGAACCGTCACCGCATGTATTAGGTTAACTGAAAGACCACTCGCGGTTGTGATAATTTACATAACGTTTTAATGCATGGTAGTTGTATTCTCAGTAATGTAGAGATATTGTTCTGACAAAATAAAGAATATGGGAAGATGACTGTTTAGATGAAGGTTTCTATCTACATGCAAGAAGATTACACTGTATTGAGCACGATTAAACTGAATGGATTGTAAATTAAAGTGATCTCACAATTACAATGTTAGTTATTAAGTACCTCATTGTTATGTTACAAATGTTTAATTTACTTTGGTCAAGGATAGACTTCAAAACCTTTAATTTAATAGACATCAACATATTGAGGGCGTTTTGTCAAGTCGATTTTATTAAAATTTAAACTTTTTGCATTTGTAAAAGGTAACAGGGGAGCGGACAAAAACAGACTGGGACGGAGACAAAGCCGCAAGGCGTAGATAAACCATGCGATTAAGAAAGGATTAGGCGCGTAAGGAGTTTGATCCAGTGTAGGTTACAGACAGAAGTGGGTGGGGTGTAAGTGAGATTATTTACTGTCAGTGTTAAATAAGGAAAGAGAGAAAATAATGGTAGGAATTTATCCACAGATTAACTTTTTGCCATCAACAATGCAAGAGACTTAGTCTTCACCACCCAAGAGTACATGTATGATTTTAATAATTTTAAATTCAGTTAAAAAACTGGCGATGGAAAGATGTAATGAAAGAAAAAAGCATAGGAGGAAGGCCTTGCCTATCAGTAACTCTGAGGGCACGCGTTTGGGCGGGAGCAAACAACCCACTATCAACGTGTAGATGTTTCAGCTAAGCAACTACTGGAAGG